CAAAGTAATTATACAAACAACTTTATTAGAATATAAAAAGAAAGTATATTAAATAAAATTAAAGATGTTTTAAAAAAGACAAAAAAAATTTTTTTTTAAATATTTTATTTCGTTTAATTTGATTGGTTAATTGACCGTTCTGAACATCGGAGGCATCAATTATTGAATAAATGCAATATATTGAATATTTAAGCCAAAAAAATTGGCAGAGTCATGTAACCTTTGACATTTGGCCAAATTGGCCAATGGTCAAAAAATTAGCCTTGGCCATGACCAAATGCCATCACTGCCTATGGGTAAGCAATACTTTTTTACGGTATGATAAAGATGATGAAGAAGAGATCTTTACTTCATGAGATATAGGTTATGGATTCTATAATGATGACGATGAGAATCTGCAAGGGGATTCCTTCTTTAACAATGCAAATGTAATTGAAAGCGGAAGAATGCCAAATAGAATATGCCAATAAGTCTCATTCAATCTAAATACAGAAGAAAGATCCTCTACTATCACAAGGTCAAATCTTCAACCAAATAGTACATTGAATCCAAACAGTCAACTCACCATAGCTGGACCTAGGGGAAGTAATAATTTGTCAAACCAACAGACAGGAAATTTAAGTACCAGTAATGGGCTAATTTCAAACAATACCTTCATGTCAAAGTCAAACGTATATAATTTTACACAAGCTCAATGAACCTCACTTGTTCTAGTTAACCCTGTACCACTTAATCCAATCCAAATGACAAGAACCAGTCTTAATCAATCTCAACCATTCGTATATGCTCAAAGTAATCTGAGAGATAAGATAACTGTCAGCTAAAACATAATAGGTACAACTTAAGTTACATTAGTAGTACAAATATCTGTTCAATTGACCTTTACAATGAATCAACCACCTATCACGTCACAACCATTCGTATGGCCTTAACCTGTACAATCAGTACCCCTACCACCAGTACAAAATAATGCATACCTCCAAGTATTACAAGGATTAATGGGATGGTTGCAAGGATAGCAAACTAGAGAATAACGATTAGTAGACCTGCCAATGTTCAGAGGAGGAAACCAAGACCCTGTAGAATGGCTTGAAGCTTTCAAACGAGCATGTAGGACAAATAGAATTCGTACAACTAGAATGATAGAAATAGTCTCTAGTCACTTAACAAGAATTGCACTAACATGGTTTCAACGACAAAATATAACCTATTGGAATAGCAGGGCAAACCCTGGTACATCATTTGTATCCTTATTTTAACAATATTTTTGCTACACCTTCCGACAGAACCAATGGAAGTATCAATTGAGACACTGAAAACAAAAAGCAGGAGAAATAATTGAAGAATATGCAGCAGCCATGAGAGTACTATGGAAAAGGGTAGACCTACGATACCAACGTGCAAAAATGAACTGAGTTGCAGAATTTATCGAAGGATTACGACCTGAATTCATAGTTTCAGTGCAAACTGCTATGCCTATAACAGTAGACCAAACAATTGAAAAAGCCAGAGTGGTAAAATCTGCCTATTCAATAGGAATGAAATTATCTGCATATGGGTTAGTACATACAAAAATCAGGTTTTAGTCATATAAATTACATAGTCCTGTAGTATAATTTTCGTATGTACTAATCCATATTCCCTAATGCTGAACTATATACAACTGTTGCAAGGAGGAATGGTCCCAGTGTAAATAAACATTGCAATGTAGACCAACTCCTATGTTGTTCAACAACCTGATATAGAAAGTGCTATCAGTCAAAAGTTAAACGAAGGATTGCAAGCTATAATGGCTAATATTTGACAACAACAATAATAACAATAATAGCAGTAGCAGCGTCAACAATCACAATGATCTTAACCTCAACAATGTTTTAATTGTGGAAAAATTGGGCACTTTTCTAGGGATTGTTAAAGTAATCATAATAATAGTAATTAATTTAACAATGGATGTTTCAACTGTGAACGTAAAGGACACTTTGCACATGACTGCAAAAGCAATAGTAATAATAACAATAATAATCGAGGTCGAAATTTTTACAACAATAATAATAATAATGGAAATAACAGAAATTATAACCGTAATAATAGTAGAGACCATTAGAATAACAACAATAATAATAACCGTAGTAATAGCAGAGATTGTTGGAGTAATGATAACAACAATAATAGGAATTATTATAATAATAATAACAATTTCAATAATAATCAGCAAAATTTAAACTAGAGTCACACCTATCAGAGATGAGTGTGCAAACAAACCAAAACCCCTAAAAATGGAAGAAGGAAATATTCAATATGAAACACCAATTGAAGGAACTAATTTGATAGAGGTACCATATGTTTGTAGAGGAATAGTATCAAGACTATATTTTGGAGGACCATATGAAAACAAATATGATCACTCTGGTTGTGAAAAATATGACTACCATAGTCACATAGTATGTATTAACTGTAAAAATATAGCTTGAAGAGTAGCCGCAAGATGTAATTGTAAGGAAGTCAAATGGAAAGATCCAGTAACAGAAGAAAGAATTTTTAATAAAGACCAGCCTATTACAATAGTGGATTCCCAAAAACAAGGAGAAATCACCATACAGAAAAGGCCTAAATACGTATTAGGAATTTTTTATGATAGCAAAGGAATTCATCTATTAAAAAGGATAGATCCTAAAAAAAATGTATAATTTATGGCAGACAGTCTGCAGAAAAGTGGAAATGGGAGAATCTTCAACAACAGCAATAATAAGAGAAATTGATGAAGAAACAAGAATAAAGTTAAATAAAGGTCGCTTGGAATATATTTTACATGACCTTACTTATAATTATAATGTATATAAAATTAAGTTGAAGAATGAGTTATTATAACATACTGAACCAACCAAACATAGCGAATGGCAACACTTTGAACTCGATGAATACTTACAAATGACTGGATTAAATGAATTAACACTGACAAATAATAAATTTGGAAAATTATTTGTGATAAAGTTGAAAAAACAGACTGTTGTTACTTACACAAGTTGGGATGAACCAGTCAAGGATGCTCTATATATTAAAGCTAAAATAAATGGATACAATGTAAATGCTATAATTGATACTGGATCTGTAGAAGTATTATCATCCAACGATTCTTAAAACAAATTAACAAAACTATCGACGGACTTGCAAAAATCAAAATTATGGGTGTAGATGGTAATAGCATGATACTAATGGGAATGATCAAAGGGATGCCAATAGAAGTCGATGGAATAGAAATTAATGAAGATATGTTAGTAACCAATGTTATATGATATAACGTTATCATAGGGAATACATGGTTACAAAAAGTCAATGCCATTATTAATTTTGAAGCAAGTATATTAATAGTACAACAAGAAAAGCAAACTTCTATGACACTGATAACCTGCACTCAAGATATAAATCCAGGAAGATTTACCATAAAAGCCAAAGTAACTTCAGACGAACTTGAATTTGAGGATGAGGATGAAGATATTGATATACAATGATGCTTTGCTATCATTCCTAAGGAAAAGAAACACGCTATGCATATTAATAGAAAGAAATATCCTGAAATATACCTACAACATTTGGAATATGAATTAAATGTACAATAGAATAAAATTGGAAAGAATCAGCTGTATGTTGGTGTCTTAAAACAATAGAAGCTGGAAGCTAATGTGATAATTGTAGGGAAATCATGAAGGATGTTCAAACATATTAATATTACAGGAATAGTATGAGAATACAATCGGCTTATAGAGTTGAACTCAAAGAAAATGATGTTCATATAGAAATTGGTGAAAGCACAGGAAAATATATTACATGTGGAAACTTATTAACTAATGTAATAACAAAATTAAAAGATTTCCTTTATAGAAATATTAATAGTTTTGCTACTATCATACAAGAGTTTATACATTCTGACTAACACGAACATTGTATATTTACCGAAAAGATACTTGCAGTTGCATTAAAACTGTATTGAACATTAAATAAAGATGATCAGTATATTCAACAGGAAATCAAAAGTATGTTAGAGCAGAAAATAATATAACCATCACGAAGCCAATGGAGTTCACTGGTAATACTTGTATGAAAGAAAAATGGAAAAATAAGATTTTGTGTAGACTACAGGAAATTGAATGATGTCACTATAAAAGATCGATACCCGTTATCAAGAATTGATAAATTATTAGAATCTTTAGGAAGAGCAACATGGTATACAACACTTGACTTAGCCTCAGGATACTGGCAGTTCAAGGTAAGAGAGCAGGATAAAGTTAAAACAGCATTTATTACTAAACACAGATTATATGGGTTTAATGTTATCGATACTCTATCAAGGATTAATGAATTATAGGCACCAAACTCACTCGAATCAACACTAATAATAGATCATAGATAAACAACAATATAATAATGTAATTCAATATCTCACTGACTTCACATATCTGGATAATTATGATAACTCTCAACGGAAACAAATACAATGATTATCAACCCACTATGTAATTAAAAATACACAATTATACAAACCAACAAAGAATGAACTAAAAAGAGTAATAACACGTGATCAAGTGGAAGTGCTTCTTTTTAATCTACATAAAAATATGACTGGAGCCCATTTAGGAATAGAAGTTGTTTATCATAAATCTAAAGATCAATATTATTGACCGCAGATGTTTGAAGATATTAGAAAATATATTAAAAATTGTGATAACTGTCAAAGGTGAGGGCTAACTATTAGGAAAGAACCATTACAACCTATTCTGATCAAAGCACCCTTTCATAGAGTAGGGCTAGATATTAAAGGACTACTACCTGTTACCAAGGATGAAAATAGATACATCATTGTCACTATGGATTACTTTACAAAATGGCCAGAAGCTAGAGCTATTAAGGATATCAAAGCAAAAACAGTAGCTAAATTTCTGTATGAAGAGGTCATTTGTCGATATAGTGCACCTGAAGAAATATTAACTGACCGAGAAATATCCTTTATGAATTAAGTAGTTGATCAATTATGTCAAAAGTTTCAAACAAAGTATCAGCTGACGTCACCTTACTGATCTCAAACTAATAGTATGGTAGAAAGATTTAATCGTACTATTGGAAAATGTTTAGCTAAATTAGTGTATGACTAAGAAAATGAATGGGATAATTATGTATTATCAATACTGTTTGCTTATCATACCATGAAACATAAGAGTACTAATTATATTCCATTCTATCTTATGTATGAATGACAGGTAGTATTACCAGTTGATCTACAAATAAAGTCAGTCAGTATCAATAATAAAGCGATAGATGATGCTTTATTAGATAGATTAATAATATTGATTGATAAGCTTGAATTAAATAAACAATATGCACTTGATAATATGAATCAGTCACAAGAACGACAAAAAGATCGATACAATAATCACCGAGTTTCAGAAAGGTTAAAAATAGGTGAAAAGGTTCTAGTAGAGAAAACATGAAAATGACGAGATATGTCTGCAAAATTAGAGTCTTAATGGATAGGACTATATTACATTCATGATATAGTTGGATTTAATTACTATAAATTAAGATCTATTGAAGAACGAATAGTCAAAGGAACCATACATGGTGACCGCTTAAAGCAATATAACGAACAGGAAATAAAACCAATGATAGTTATTACATAAATTAGTATTTAGTATGGTTAATAATATTTTAGTTTTATTTATAATACTTTTATTATTTTACATTATTTATTAGTAATTGATATAGTTATATATATATAGAAAATATTAGTAAAAAAGAATTTAATTTTCAAAGAAATGACGCAAGTATACCAGCTTATATATTCTGATTTATTAGCAATAACCCCAACAACTATAACATTACCGCCTTTACTAATGATATCTTCTCAAGATGCAAGTACAAAGATGAAAATATTCTTCCAACATGTTCAATGACAAATAACATTGAAGAATAGAAAAGAATCATTATTTTATCTTTATCATATAGGAAAAATAATTGATACAGAATACATGACTCAAAAAGATTCTAAGTTATCTAAACATTATTTTATTATATCAAAGAGAGTATTTCTTATATTTGAAGATAATCTTGAACAACTAATGAGAACTCAGTACATGACTACAGCTCTATTTGTAGGATTGAAACTAAACGACCTCAATGAATTAATTCACTGGAGTTCATTTTTAAAGAAGAGGGATATTGTAATAGAAGAGTCAACTGTAAATCATATGACAATAGAATAAATCACCTGATCTACTATACCAAATATCTGCTATATTTGCCAGTTCTGGCAGATTTGCGAAATACGCCAATTACGCATGATATGTCAGAAATATAATATATGCCAAATATCTGAGAAATGGCAGATATCTTAAAAGTAAAGTTACATGAGGACCTAGAAAACGCCGGAACCTTCTTTTACATTACAGCTAATTTCATAATTCATGGACCATTAATAATTTTTCAGTCGCATTCAGTCGCAATATTTTATAGT